AACTACACAGTACTATAGCACAAAAACACTTCTTCCATCTACAATCTTAATATGTGCCTAATCTCTAGTAACTATAAGCCGTATGATAGGTCCTTAAAAATCATAATCCACCTCTCTACACATCAACATCAAGGAGACTCCAATCAAAATTCATCGATCAACATCTCTTCAACCAAGGACATCATCAACATTTGTAAAACCATTTATGGTTATTTTCGTCTTACATCCTCAACTAACCATTTTACGATGGGGGTGTTATATCCTGTATATTTTTAACCTAAAATTTTCCCACACTTTAAAACACATGTACAAATTAACCAAAAAGGACCTCACATGAAAACATTAAACAGACTAGGAAAGTTCTAAGTAATCTCTTTTCTAAAAAACTTGTTCTCTCCTAATTTTATTGCTCACAGATGACACCGTAAAAAGGTCAGTTTCACATTTCCTTTTTTTTTAACGGTCCATTCTAACCTTGCTAAAAGAAAATGCTTTCTCGAACAAAAATCAAAAGTGTTTCCAAATGTAAAGGAAACCATAAATTGAAATATAACCTCTGACCGGATGACTAAAAAACGACCTTTTTGGGAACACAGCTGAGAGCAATAAAAGAAAAACAGACACAACACATGAACACGAAATATTTTTAAATATTAAAAATTATCAAGAATATTTTTATCTTAAAAGAGGAAAACACCAAGTATTTTAATAAGGATAAAAATTATATCTTATTTTTTTCGAAAATTCCTTTAAAATCATAAAACTTAAAAAGCATAGTAAATATTGACTAGATAATTTTTATCCTGTTAAAGCTTGATATTTTCCGAAAACTATTACAATAAGTGCAGTAAATATCTGCAAGATTATAAATCTTAAGAGAGATACAGAATTCAATATCTCCAAAATTGTAAATAACTTTCTCTCCAGTATTTAAAGTTCTCATACAATGCCCTTTGTACCACGATACCGTAAATCATAAGATTCAAAACCTTAGGTAAAGAACCTGCGCATCGACCCTAAGCAATATATATAGACTATAGTAAATACACCTGAAGTAATTTCTAACCCTAATTTCTGGTCAAAAACGAAAAACAACAAAAATAATCAATTTAACTAAATAATAGAAAAACCAGTAACCAATTAAAAATAATGAATTGTAAATAAATAGAAAACTACAAAAATAATTACTATTCATTCTATTATTATTAAATAAAATAACCAAAAAGGTTATAATATAGTAAATAATTAAATTCTTAAGAATTAAAATTCAATAAATACTAATTATTACTCATAATTATTAAAACAACCAAGAATAATAATTAATATTGATAAACAATATAAATAATACCTAGAATAAATAAATAATAGAAACTAAATAAATAAAAAAATATCTACGAAACAATTAAACTTTAAATAAAATTAATAATTGTTAATTAATAAACATTAAACAATCTGTATTAATAAAAATTGTAAAATAATTAAAATCAACCAGTAAAATTATAAACAATTAATTGTTAAACAACAATTTTAGAACATAACCCTAAAAATTACGATAAAATTATGATTCAAAAAGGTACATACATTTAAAAATTATAAACAATTAAACTACGCTATAAAAATTAATGTAAAATTATTATTAAGTAGATTTATAATAACATTCTGTAAAAATCCAAAAACGTGAAATAATATCCCTACTTAACTTAAAATCAAAAGATAAAATCCCTACTCTCTAGAAATAGACACTGACCTAGGGTACGTCCCCTTAAGCCACAACCTACAATAATGGGATGGGTCTCGAAGACCCAATCCTAAAACGGCAGACCCAAATTTTCCTCGCTTTTCTCCATTTTCTTTCTACCATTTTCTTCCGGAAAACCAATCCTCAAATTATCCATCCCCTTTTACCATCCCTCTAAAAATATTTTCCCAGAATTTGGAAACTCCCTAAAATCTTAGTGGGGACAAACCTTTAAAAACAGCATCCCCAAGAGGATGTCACATCATTCCAAGTATTCAGTTCAATCTTAAACATTCATACAGTGTTCAGTCTCAAGTTCTCAATACTAAAATTCAACTTAAGTTCAAGTCTATTTTAAAAGTTATATACAAGTGTTAATTCTATTACCAAATTCAAATAATTTCATCACATATCGAAATCATAAATCGATATATCGATACATCGATACAGTTAAATCGATTAATCGATTATTAATAATCGATATTACGAAAATTCCAAATTATTTCACGTTTTTGAGGACAACGATATTATTCATAAATAATAAATAAAAAGTGAGTACAAATTCAAAATATTCTTATTAAATTCATCTTTCTCTTCTTAACTTTCTCAAATCTTGTCCAATTCCCAAATCCAGGTTCTATAACTGAGAATTATAAAAATTAAATACCTTTTTAAACTAATTGTGACTCCTGAAATTGTTACCTATGTTATCGAACCCTGTCATCTTATTTTTCTGTATTTGATGATTTGGATTCATCCTTTATAAATTAAAATCCTAAACATTTCAAAAACAAAACAAAATAAAACTCGAAAGTGTCCCGAACTATTAAGCGAGAGCTTAGGTTCTAATCACTAACATAATTCCATTTATTAAATATTCATTTATTTAATAAATTGAATTTAAAATAATTATGTTTAGTCCATAGGACGTAACAATTTGCTTTCTTTACAAATTTGTATAAATTACAGTGAAAATTTCTATAAAGAGTATAGCGGAATAAAATTAAAAATCTGCTTTTGCTCCAAAAAGGTTTAAATTATTACTAAAAGTTGGTACTAATACGATGAAAATTTCCTGCAAATATTTTTTGAAAAAGTGCATTTTTACAGGACTTATGGAAGGGAAAGCAAAATTAAAAAATTGATTTTTCTCGAAAGCGGCTTAACCGATTTTAATAACAAAAATATGCTTTTTTGTAGAATCAAATTACGAATTATAAAAAATACTCAAAAAATGTTTGCCCAAAAAACCCAGAAAAAAAAGTTTTTGAAATTTTGAAAATTTTAGAGGTACCATTTTTGGAACGTGACAAAAATATATCTAATAGTATCTACTTTAACATATAATTTTTCTAGATTCTTAAATTTGGTGGAACATAATGAAAAAATGGAAAACCGAGAGCGTAACGTCACTCTAGCATATGCGTACTTCGGTTTAAGAAATAAAATAGTTTTTTAAACCATTCTATAAAATCAAATTTTGTAATCATAAGATGAATTTTTAAAAAATATTGTAAAAATTTTTGTCCAAAAAAACCTGGGAAAAAAATTTTTTTTAAATTCTTTTTGCAGAGCTACCATCACAATAATTTGCGTAGTGCAGTGATGTTGCAACTATACTTTAATTACAAAAACTTTAATATCTCCGGACACAGTTGAGTCTTCATAAAAATTTTTTTAAATTAAAGATGAATTAATGAAGAATAAAAATATGTTAATTAAATTTCTCATAGAGAGGAGTAAATAAACAAAATTGTTTTTAGAAAAATTTTTTATATTTAGAAATTTTTTTTAAAATATTATTTTAATTTTTTTAATAGTCTAATCATTGAATAATGATTTATACTTTTATTAATTATGTTTTTAATTTAATTTTTACTAGACAAAAAAAACCTCTTTCGAATCATAAAAAAATTTGTTTACTCTTTACCTTCGAGAACTTTTTTTTACATGGGATAACTAAAAAATAAATTAATATTTAGTAAAATTACAAAAAATATTTTACAGATTAAATTTAAATAAAATCTAAAAACTGATTTTTCCAGTAACACTATTCAGAATATTTCAGAAGTATTTCTGAAGAACTGTCAAAAAATTTCCGGAAATCACATACGGAAATCCTTCCACATGGTGTATAAAATTCATTATTTGAGAGGATCCATTATCAAACTGCTATTTTGAAAAATGTGAAGGTTGTCAAGGAATAGAAGTTCTTGAAAATCTGCTGAAGACGATTTTTGAAGAAAATTATAACGAAGATGTAAATTATCAACAATGGATTTAAAAACCTTATACAAGCCTCGAAACGTTTACTTTGTGTACTTCAGAATTTATTGAATTTTTTGATTTTTGAAGAAAATGCTAACGAAGATATCAATTATGTGCGAAAATCACAAGCTAACTTTATGAAGAGTGTAAAAGAATCTTTAGAAATTAACGAATTTTTTGTAGTTTGTGATTTTGCTGAAAACTACAAATTTGTTATTCAGAATGCAATATCTGGGTTTCACTGGAATAACAACCAGTCAAATATTTTACCAGTTTTCATTTATTTTGAAGTAAACAATGAATTAACACATAGAAGTCTAGTGATTATTTCTGAATGCAATACCTATAATTCGAATGCGGTTAACGTATTTTTTAAAAGTTATTGCAGACTTTATTAAAACATTGTTCAAAGATGACAAGAAAGAATATTATTTTTCGGACAGAGCGCAACAGCAGTGCATAAACTATAAAAACTTTATTAACCTTAATCACTATCTGTCTCGGAGAGATCGATAAATTCTGATTTTAAACTATTAAACACATCCGAGTGATCAATTCAATCAACATAATATTATACTATTATATTATTTGTCTGATTAAGAAAATTAAAACCCTCGATAATTGCTGCACCCTCGGTAACTGGTGCAATTACCCTATTGTAGTTACTGAAGCAAAAATCTTAAATGAGAATAACATTTTTAAATTTGTAAAATTTTGAAGTAGAAAATCAAATTTAAATTATAATATAAAGTACTTTGAATTTACAAATACTTATATTCATTAATTCATTACTACCAAATAAAGCGTACCTCAAATTCTTCTAAAAATTGTTATACTTTTTGGGCAAGAGTGTTAAAAATTTTTAATGTTTTTTATCAAACTTGATATCTAAAAGTTTTGGGATCGCGGATTACGAATATGACATCAGTTTTATAAATAATTAAAAAGAAGACTGAAGTCACTTATAAATGAATATAATTGATATTTAACATACCCTCGGTCCTCCGGTCATCTGTAGTGAAAAGAAGTCACAATATACAGAATTTAAGCATTAATTTTAAAAAGTATAAAATGTGCCTTTTAACAAAAATGTTCAATTGCAAATAATTTTTGAAAGTTATTACTATTATCTGTAATGAGGAATGGATCTTTATCAATATAAAATTAAACAATATTTATCTTTTATACAATACCTGCTAAAAATATAGTAGGTTCTATGTCTGCAACAAGATTTTTTATCGATTGCTATCAAGAAAACTGTTTTCTAATTTTCGAAAAAATAATTTTAAAGCTAAAATCATATTCTGTATAGAGACCTGACAAATTTATTGTGGATTCAGTTCCTGCAACCAAATTAGAATTATTTAAAAACATTTTTCTGAATTATTAGAAAAGGTTACACAATAAAGATCTTCAATAGTGACCGGAAAAGTAAACCTTCGGACGTTTAAAATTATTTGCTTATAATTATTTTATAGTAGTACGAGAAACAAAATAAGCATAGATAACAAAATTTTGATATAAGTTACCTTGACAAATTTCCTTAATGTAATCTGCAACATGAATATTAAAATTTAAAAAAAATTTACTGTTAGGATTACAGAAAATTCAATTTTAGATCGAATTTAAATATTAAAATGCAGAAACGTATAATTTTTAACTTCAAAATTATATTTTTAAAATTGAATAATTTACATTACGCACCAAATATATTTGAGTCGTCTTCACTTCCTGTAACAATATCTAATGGACAAAAGTTTAAAAATGTTAATATTAAAGAGCCTAGCGGAGTAAGCATGCAAAATCTGCCCCCGCTTAAAAAAGTTTGAAATTCTTGTTACATGTTGGCAGCATTAAAATAAAATTTTTCACCAAATACTTTTTCAAAAAATGCTTTTTTGTAAGAGTTATGGAGGGGGAAAAGAAAATAAAAAATTTGTTTTTTCTGGAAAACCACTAAAATGGTTAAGATACTACTTTAGAATTTTTACAGAAAATTCTCCTAAATGTATACTTTTAAGAAATATTTTTGTTACTTTTTTTAATTGGGTACCACATAGTAAAACAAATTAAAATCGTAGGTGGTGCATCATTCCGGTTGAAGCACAATGTATCCAGTAACTGATTATTTTTCAATTTGCTTGAAACTTTGTAATTATGTGTTTCTGGGATCACTCATTACGAATGTAATGTTAGATTTTCAAAATTCAAAATAACGGATCCAATATAGCGGACGACTTTTTGAAAAATTCATTGTATTCGCTTTAAACTTGTCACACGGAGGTTTTGGGGTCGCTGATTTTAAATTTGAAAGATCTAACTTTACATCCGTAATGAGTGACCCCAGAAACACATAATTACTAAATTTCAAGCAAATTTAAAAATAATCAGTTACTAGATACATTATACTTCAGCCGGAATGATGCGCCATCTAGGATTTTAATTTTTTTCAATATGTGGTACCCATTTAAAAAATTTAACAAAAATATTTCTTCAAAGTACACATTTTGAATAATTTTCTGTAAAAATTCCAAAGTAGTATCTTCAAATTAAGACCAAAAAATTTTTTTTTGAAAATTCAAAAAAAAAATTTGGTTTTTTGTGGGATAAATTTTTTGAAATTTTTTTAATATTCCTTTTATTAATTTATAAAACACGTGTAAGTTCCATTAAAATCGATCCAGTGGTTTTCGAGAAAAAACAAATTTTTGATTTTCCTTTCCCCCTCCACATCTCTTACAAAAATGCATTTTTTGAAAAAAATATTTTGTGAAAAATTGTATCTTAATGCTGCCAACGTGTAACAAGAATTTCAAATTTTTTTGAGCGAGGCAGATTTTACATGCTTACTCCGCTAGGCCCTTTGTAAAAAAATTGTTTACACTGAAGATAAAAAATAGTAAATAACTTTAAAAGAGAACAAATTTATGCCAATAAAATGGTTGTCAGTCTTCAGTACAATTATTTTAAAAATAATCTGCATTACACATTGAATATTGGATAACTTTCTTAATAATTTGTTTTTTAACTATTACTGAAGAGCCAGAAAATGGAACCTTTGCTGATATGAAAAATCTGTATTTTTTAAAATTTAAAGTTATGAAAGTAATTTATATTTACATCGCAATCATCTTGTATCACTAACAAGATTGAAAATTTTTGTGATGGGTAAAGAAAATTATTCTTTATCGTAAAATTTTGTAATGCAGGTTTTATCAGACAGACCTTCTTTTAAGATTATTTAAAAAGAAGAATTTATATTTAAGTATAAATAGTCTAAACGCAAGTAAAAAAGTCAAAATAGTATCTGGATACAACTGAATCTTTTTTCTGAACTACAAACATGCATAATATGCAATGAATAGTTGTAATTTTTTATAAATGTAGAATTGTAAAGTTGGGTGTTTACTAACGTAATTAATATTATTGTTCATACCGTAGAGGGTAAAAAGTAGGAAAGGGTAAATTATTTCTCAAGAAACAGGAATTGTTAAAATGAAATACAGTGCAGCGTAGGCGCAAATTTAACTATTCCTGTTTCTCAAGAGGAATTTTATCCTTCCATACTTTGCTCTCTACGGTATAAAGAGCCTCAATATGTATAACAGAAAACAATATTTAAAGCTTTCATACCGCACCTGGAGAAAACAATGTAGGTTCTATAGCTGCAACAAGATTTTGTAACTCTTGCGATCAAGAAAATTATTTTCTAATTTTAGAATAAATAATTTCAACCTTAAATAATATTATATTATATACACATATCTGACAAATTTATAGAGACATTAACTCCTATAATAAAATTAAAAAAATAATTATTTTAAAATTTATTTTCGAATGATTAGAAAAGGTTGCCCAATAGAGATCTTCATTAATAGTCGGAAAAACAATCATTTGGAATTTTACATGAATGAATATTTAATATTTCTTTTTGTTTAACATGATTTATTTAAATATTATTCTTTAAATCATTAGTTTTGACGTTTTAAACCTTTGGAATATTTAAAATTATTTGCTTATAATTACTTTATACTAGCTCCAGAAAGAAGATAAGATTTCATAAAAAATTTCAATCTAACCTACCTTGACAATTGTTCTTTATGTAATCTGTAACTCGTTAATGTGATTATTAAATTTTTTATTTACGACTTACTGTTAGGGTAGTTAAGTTAAATTTTAAAATAAAATGACATATTATATATAAGGCCAAAGATTTTCAATAATTAAATAAGTTAGATGACGTACCAAACAAACTTGAGGCATCTTTACTTCCTGTAACAATATTTGCTAGACAAGTGTTTAAAAAGTTAAATATTAAATTTGTAAAACAATTATTTATACTAAACATTAAAAATAGTAATTAACTTTTAAAAAAGGTCAAATTTGTGTATATAAAATGGTTGTTTTTCTTCAGTACATTTATTTAAAAAAGTGCATGAGACATTGAATATTAGATAACTTTCTTATTCTAAATAGAACCTTTGCTGATATGGAAAACGTGTATCTATTACAATTTACAGTTATCAACGGAATTTATTTCTAGTGAAACTTTGTATTGTAGGTTTCTACCTCATTTTAACATTCAATATTTTTCTGTAATGATTTTCTACCAAATGGATACAAAGCTGTTTAAAAAATATTTAAAATGGCGAGCACTATAAAAATGATAAGTGTTATCATTTCTGTAATGCTTACGTGGCATCAAGCATCACGCAATACGTGGCAACAAAATGAGTCATGTTAGACGTGGCAGATTTACAACAAATATGTAAAATTAATGTAACCTAGAAAGAATATTTTTCTACATAAGAAATTAAAACATGAAAATTAGTAATTAAGAGTTAAAAACAGTAGCGCTTTCAAAAGAAAGAAAATTTAGAAAATATTTTTAATATTAAAATATGTCACACAAGACAAATATAATTCTAGAAAACTAAAATTGACATATTTTACCTCATTTTTTAGAAATTATTTAAAACATATGATCCTTAATAGATGTAGCTATGCAGAGAACATAATTATATACCATATATGCAATTATAATACCTTCTTCAAAAATTTATATTGTGAAAAGCAACGGAGTTTTAAATTTGATCAAAAATAAAAAAAAGTATTTTTTAAAAACTTAATAAATGTTTTGTTTAAAATATTTTAATTTTATAGTTATATACTTTTGCATTAGAATATATGAAATAATATTAAAATAAGTTTTCTTACCATAATAATCTTGCAGTCCACTTTCCTGTTAATGGTCGAATGTGAAAAACTCTTTTCGTATATAATGCTTTCATATGACTCTTGAAACTATCGCCTCGTGCTATCATAAAAAAGCAGATAGAAAAATTTTATGATTTTTCTAAAGATAGTAATTCTACATAACTAAGGTTTTAAAACTTTTCATGAAAGTTTTTAAACTTTTAAGAAAATTAATATAAAAAATAATACTTGGATAAATTATAATTTCTCATTTTTGTGACATTTTCGACATCAAGTTAAGACAATTTACCTATTCAATCAATTATAATTTCACCCTCTTTATATATCGTTGATGTCATCTCTAGAAATTATAGTAAATATTTTAAAGAAAAATGTTAAAGTTTTACACATTATATATTATCAACGAATTTCGTGATGGCGAGAGTGCTGACACCATTGTCAATTAATGTAGACTTTTTAATGTTGCATAGTGGGCGAGAAAGTAGGCAAAAGCGACCAAAACTCACAATTTAATTGAATTTGCTTAAAACTCGTAACCCGGGGGTTTTCGGAGTCGCTGATTACGAATACAATATTAGTTTTTCAAAATGGCGGATACAATATAGCCGACGCCAATGTTAAGAATTCATTTAATTCACTTGAAAATCATTACTCGGGGGTTTTTGGGATTGCCGATTACGAGTTTGATGTCTGCTTTATAACTATCTGCTGATGCTAACGACCGTTATCGTCAAAAATCGTCATTCTGGACGCCTGGTGGGGGCTATGGGAGTTACTTTCTTTGGCGATAGAGTGGGGATAATTTAGCATAAGCGGAGGGTTAAAATTGAAAATAGTGGATCCAATATGTCAGATAAAAATTATTAAACTTATTTAATTCTGCTGTAAATACCATTCTATGTGTTTTTATGATTTCTTAATAAGAATGTGTAAATAATAATTTAAAGTCATGAACACAAAATTCTGGAAATTTTTTTTAAATTAGGATTCACAATGGTTTAGGTGACCTTGTTTCGTTGCTAAAAGTCTAAATGAGCCGCAGCGTGCAATAACAACAGATACGCTCGGGCCGTCTTTCCGAATCGAAATATCTAATTCGAAATCGGCTGTTGGAACTAGATCTGGCCAATAGGGAAACTGCATTCGATGTAGATATTTTGGTTACGGAAGACAGTCCGAGCTGATTGCGAATCTGAAATAAGCGACCCCAAAAACCCCCGAGTGACTAATTCTAGGCGAATTTGTTGAACTTTTAATTTCTTCGTACACCATATTGAATCCTCTATTTTGAATTTTAAAAATCTGACTCCAGATTCGTAATCAGCGACCCCGAAAACCATAGCTACTATACCTATTAGAGATATTTTTTAATTGTCCTAATTATAGAACTAAAAGGGTTAAACGAAAAGTTACGGTTTTTGTACTTTTGGACAACCCTGTACAGGGAACGCACGTGAATAATACACTTTAATATATTTTCCTCATAGCCCGCTGTGGTTTCTAGTGTCCTAAAATAACTCAAAACTTTAATAAAAACAGCTCTCTATAAATTTTAAAAAAGTATAAAAAACCAAAACTTGTGAGATTTCTAAAACTTTAAGGCTCTTGGGGCAACCGTAAATATTAATTGATCAAAATTCAATTTAACGCAGTGTTATATGAGCATGTTACGCAACTTTTCCACAGTATTAAAATTTAGAAATCGAAAAATCGATTTTTTCGATCTACCCTTATGTATGTTCGGGTGCCCATAAAAAATTTTTTTTTTCAATTTTTAACCCTGCCCAAAAATTTTCTTCCTTTTTATAAAAAAAAGGTACCATCTATCTTACCAGATTTTTTAAAAACGATTTAAAGGTCGCGACGAGCCATTTTATCTTAAAAACACGTTTTTCAATATTTTTCGAGTCTTAGACGTATAATGTTGAGTAATAAAAATAATTTCATGTGATATATTACTTTTAATTTATCGCTGAATAATCTAAAAATTATTATGTACAGAAACTCATTTTTTGAAGCCGCCAAAGATACAGAAATATAAGAATTTGCTAATTTCGCGGCTATAAACAAGGAAAATAAACTCTGACTGTTTCTTATAAAGTTGAAGAAAATTGTATATTATTATTGTGTACAAATATTAATTTTAAATATTGGAATTTTTTTTATTTTAGAGGTATAAATAACTAAAAAATATATTTTTTAAAATTCAACTTAATTTTTTAAACTCATAATTTTTAAATCGATTTTATTGAAACGTAAATATTGAACTTAAAATAAATACAGTCTTATTTTTTAATTTATTGACCAAGTAATAACACCATTAATATATAAACATCAGAATAATTAAGTAACATTATTTATTAAATCCAGAAAAAAAAATCCTAATCACTTTTAAGTCCTTGAACTAGTGTAGCTTTTCGAGAGTTTGGAAATTGTTGGTGATGTTTTTTCACAACTTGAAGAAGAAACTGTTTCTGATCTTCCTGATTTGTTAAAATTGAATTGTAAGTTAGGATTAAGGAAACTCCGCGTTTAGCTGCATCATTAACTACTTTCAATTTTTCAATTTTATTTTTTGCTTCTAGATAGCTTGTATCCTCATTCCATGCACTAGGCTCTTTATTCAAAAACTCATAATATATATTTATTGTTTTGAAAAACTGTAAAGTATTTTGTGTCACAAAATGGGGTAATTCTTGTTTTGAAATTAAATTTTTATTTATTTGTATCCTTCGAACAGGTTTGTCCGTACCCTTCTTTGTTAATGCTGCTACCATTGCGTTTTTTATTTCATTCGGCACTGAAGGCTTAAAAAATGCTAGCCCAACCAATTTTTCACTTAAATACCACAAATGACGTGCCATGCTGTTAAATGCTGCTTGAGCAAGTTTCAAGTTAATTTGTTTATACTCTAAAACTTCCTTTAATAGTTTTAGATCATTCGACGATGTAGGTTTTGGACACGCATACCAATATTTCAAATAAATTCGAACTGCAAAAGTGTTGAATTCTCGTAAAGCATTAAGCTCTCTACTTTTTAGAACAAACTGATCCCGGAAAAGGTATATTTTTAAATCGTAAATTATCTTTGCCATCCACCTTGCTCGATGAACAGCTCCGGGTGCCATGACTGAAACGATTTTATCGGAATCTTCACCTAAAAATAGTAGTGCTAATTGAAGGAGCTCTTTGTAATCGTCTCGGGGCTGAAAATTTTTTATTTGATTTCGAAAGAAAGCGATCAACCCATCTCGTACTAATAGAACGTGTTGAAGTTAATTTTTAAAAACAATCAATTATGTCGCTTTCCGGATAAAAAAAATTCTATTAATCCACGTTTAGTTGTTAAATATGATTGGGAATATCTTTTAAGGAATCCAGTTGAAGAACTCCTATGTGGAAAAGAAACCCTAATAAAATTATTAATCAAAATATTTCTTGTGAAAGAATTTCAAATAGAACAAAGGAAATCAATAATCTTTCAAAGACACAACAATATTCTGCCATACTCAAATCCAAAAGTAAAAAAATTACAAATTTATTTTATTCAGATAAAGTAGAAGTTTTCTCTAAAAAAATTCAAACGAATCAGTTAGAATTCCAACGACAACATCCGGATAAAAGAAAGTTTGAAGTTATCAATAATGAAAAAGACTCCATGTGTAAGAAAAGCAACATACAATATTAAAAAGAATGTGAAGAGGGATTACTTAAGCATTAAAATTGGTTAAGTCAAGTTAATGATTCAAATGATGATAATATGAATGAATTTGTTAATTTAGAAAATATCGTTGCTTCTATTCCCACAATAAATAATATATATGATATTGTAAAGGAAACAAATTCTTTATTTAAAACTGTTCGAAAAAGTGTAGCGGAAAATCAAGGAAATTATCGTGCCAGACAAAAATTGAAAAGAAATATTGAAAATGTTAATCTTTCAGATAAAGTAGATCACTTTTCTATAAAAAAAAAAAAAGATTTGGGCAGAATATCAAAAAATATACAGGGAAAAAATTAAATTAAAAAAAAGAAAATGAAATAAACTCTTTTTTTGATTTAAAAAATGTAAATTCTAATCAATCTGATTTAATAAATGACATTTCTCCTGTTCCAGTAATAACAAATTAACAATTACAAGATAGTAGTGAAAAGAGAAAAAACTCTTTAATTGAAAAGATTCGAAAAAGTAGGAATGAAATTCAGAAAAACTATCAGGAGAGATAAAAATAAAAACTTAATACACAAAAATCAACTGTTATTCTGCCAATAATATCAAAAGACAAGATTATTCATGAATCAAATTCTAATGAAAATCATTTAGGAAAATTGAATTATTATTGCAGTCATTGTCAAGCTAAGCATTCTAAAAATAAAAGAGTTAGTGTCAAACAGGACAGTTTCAATTATTGTTGTGGTCATGGTGATGTTATACAACATTCAGTGCAATATCCAGAAGATTTAAGATTAATGCTGGAAGGACTTCATACAAAGTCAGGTCATTTAAAAAAGAATATAAGACAGTATAATTATTTTTCTTTTGCATCTTTGAATGCTTACGTTATTAATTTTAATAACACAAGAAGAGGACCAATTTGTCACAAAATTCAAGGTCAAATTTATTACCAAATTAATATAGTGCATTCACAAAATCTTTTATGATGATGTCAGAAGTAATTAAAATAGAAACTGAATTATCAAGACAAAATAATGAAGATGTTCCAGAGTTAGAACTATTGTTCATGTTAAAAAAAGGTTTTGATAAAAAAGATATAATTATCAAAGTTACAATGAAGTTGCTGATAATTTCAATACAAACTCAGAAGGACAAATACCGGAATCTTATGTAACAGTTTATATAATAAGTCTACAAAGGAACTGATATCAGTTAGTAATTTTGATCCGAATGTTGAACCATAGATCTATCCCATATTTTATCCACTTGAAAATAAAGGTTATAATATTAATATGCTTCGTAGTGATAGTGATTTTAGAAGTAAAAAACATACTATTTCTAGGTCTGCCTA